AAATCATACGGCATGAGACCGTGTAACGGTGAATTATAAAATTGTCCATTAACACCTTAAATGTTATATTCATTTATAAATGGAACAATTTTTGAAATTTGTCCGAAAATGTCCATAGCTGTCTTTCAATTACGGTCATGAACATAAGATAAACAGAGCAATAAAGGAATAAGTCTCCGACATGAGAAGCACAATACCTTATTCCTCAGCTCCTGACGAAAAAGGTTATACCCATTCTGTTGATATTATGCACCAATATAGTAACGTTAAAATTGTACCGTGTGCCGTGGACACTACAAAATGTTATACATTTGTAGTAGTTCAATTACAAAGTCAATTACGACACTTCAGCACTTCTGACATTTAGTATATATCATATTAATTCTAAGCTTGCCTTTTTTGCCTCTTTATCTTGTTTCTTGTAATGCTATTTTTTGATATACTTAATATATTATTCACTATATACATTTTAAGCAAATCTAACTTACTAAAATTTCACAGTGCGTTACTTTATGTTATAATTATAGTATGACTTCAGTAAAATGCAGCCTTTGTAATATAAAGTTTTCTGTTAATCATATAGTATCTACATATCATCATCACCACAACTGACCTATCCTCCACTGTTAAATGTACTGTCTCCTCCTACTTGGGCACAAGTTCGATTTCTAACCAACCTGATGGGATGTCGCCACTGGAAAACAATCACGGGTTATCAATTACTCATCTCGAGCTGTATAACCGACCGATTGCAATTCAGCTTGCAAATCCTTCAAAATGTATCGGTTACTTTAGATCTACAAATACTGGAATTGCATCAAGATGTGAAACTTCAAGCATAGTCGTCTCATAACACTTGCCTTATTTATGTATTAAGTTCAAAATAATTATTTTCCACCTTTATATAAATATATTTATATATCTATATATAAATCTATTTCCATCATGATCAAAGATATATTTTTTAAAAACCACTTATTGTTCAATTCTTTCAGCATCCAAATTTCAGTATTTTTATCTATTTGACAATTTTCTTTTAGAATCCAGAATTTTGCAACGAATTTGTTTCAACTATTCTGAAATTCTTATTTAGCAATTTAAGCATTATTTTATCCAATTTAGAATGGCAAACAAGCTGACAGACCACCTGATAGAAAGTGGTAACCACCACCTATAGACATGAACAGCACCATGGATATAACAGAATATACTGTATCGCCCATAATACTCTTCACGCGTTGCTATTTCTGAAGACAAAATTGTTATGCCTCTGCACCCTTCAAATCAAAACTCAGCCATGCAAAACTCAGCAATACAACTACTCACGCGAATGGGACAGATGTACGCAAGTGACTTTTGTACAAAATCTCTTTCTGGTGAATGTCAACAGACGCAACAAAACCAAAAATTAACAATTTTTATAAATATTTACGTTGTAGATACATTTGTGTCTATTTATTTACCTATATTTATTTTCATTACACCGTTCAAATATATTTCTGTTTTCCCAAAAGTCAACATTGCATTAAGTTAGTTTTTTGCACCGTATATTTTTGCAAAATGTGAGCAATATACTAATATTATAAATGTGAAATTGAGTTTGTTTATTATCTCTAGACGCCCCAATGACTAAACCAATTATTATGAAATTTTCTATACACGTAATATATGGAATGGAAAAGGCCATAGACATACGAGTAGTTTTCTCTTTATTCCTATATATATATATATAATGAAAATATTCGATCATCCGAACAAAATCGTAGGTAAAAACTAGTAAATAATAAACAACCATATATATATATATATATATATATATATATATATATATATATATATATATATATATATATATTATTTTCATACGGAATAACTTTAAAATTTTCGTAATTTTTTTTTATTTTTATATCCATGATGCCGTCATGATACGCACATTCAAGATATCGTCACAGAAAATTAAAAGCGTCTTAATACTCGTATAATAGAATAAATCTTGACTTTAAAATCTTACAACATTGTGCCTTGCTACAAGTATAATAATATATATAATAATATATAATAATATATAATAATATATATAATAATATATATAATAATAATTTCTCGGAATACCGACCTATCTCAATCCTTCCCGTACTTTCAAAGGTATTGGAACATTTTGTTCATCGACGCCTTACTAAATATCTTTATCGTAATGATCTCTTGAGTCAGTATCAGTCTGGTTTTCGTACCGGTCATAGCACGGTTACTGCACTGGTAAAAATTACTGAGGATATTCGACTTAATATTGACAAAAAGAATATTTTAATATTAGTGCTACTTGATTTTACCAGTGCTTTTAATACTGTGGACTTTGATGTACTTCTCGGCATTCTCTCCAAATTTAGATTCTCATCATTGGCTCTGGCATGGTTCCGATCATATCTTTCTGGCCGGCGCCAATTGGTACGTGTGGATGACTGTTGTTCTGACTGGTGCGCGATTAATGCAGGTGTCCCTCAGGGTGGAGTTCTTTCGCCTGTACTTTTCTCAATTTTCATCAACGGAATTACGTCTGCTCTCCTCTCTTCATTTCATTTGTATGCAGACGACATGCAATTATATACTGCTGCTCCCATCTACAACCTTACTAATGCTGTAGATGTAATTAATAATGATTTGAACGTAATTGCTAAGTGGACGAAGGATTTTGGGCTTTTAGTTAACGCAGATAAATCTCAAGCGGTCATTATGGGTAGTTCTCATTTTATTGCTAAACTTCGGTATTTAACAGTTCCCAACGTTATTTATGACGGAAAAATAATCCCATATTCCACTACTGTTAAAAATTTGGGAATTGTTATAGACCAGACACTGTCATGGGGTCCTCATATAGGTGAAGTAAGTCGAAAAATCCACGCATCACTACATTCCTTAAAGCGCCTGCAGAACTTCCTCCCTTTAGGAACTAGACTTTTACTGGCTCAATCTCTTCTTCTTCCTCTTCTAGACTATGCTGATGTTGCCTACCTAGATCCCACACAGGAGCTTGTTGATAAACTTGAGCGACTGCAAAATCAATGTATTAGATACATCTATAACCTTCGAAAGTATGACCACATATCTAGTTATCGCAGTCAACTCAAATGGCTTCCTATCAGGCTACGGAGAAATGTCCACATTCTTACTCTTCTTTTCAATATCCTTTTTAATCCAACATGTCCACATTACCTTCAGGAAAGATTCAAATTTCGCGAAATTGATGTTCGCCTGAGATGCAGTAATGACTTCATTATAGATTTGCCTTGTTTTAATACTCAAAGCTATGCCATGTCATTTACTGTACATACTGCACGTCTCTGGAATTCACTTCCTAATAACTTAAAGATGGCACAGTCGCTGAAATCTTTTAAAGCAGGTATCATAAAATTTTATTTTGAAAATCCCTCTTCATTGAGCCAATTGTGAATATATGTATTTATTATGTATTTATTATGTATACATGTATGTGTATGTAGGAGTGTATATATGTATGTGTATGTATGTATATATGTGTATGTATGTATATATATGTATATATATATGTATATGTATATGTATGTGTGTATATGTGTATATATGTATGTGTATGTGTATAAGTTTTTATTTATTAATGTTATATTATTATTAATTTACTTTTATTATTTACATATGTAGGTATATAGAGCTGTTTTTATTGTGTTATATATTCAATTTTTTTTTTTTACTGGGTATTATTTAGTTTATCTTTAATTGTACGGTTATTACCCTTATACATTCTACAGTTTTCTTTCAGCTTCTCAAAGGTTGACTGTAAGAGATCCCTTTATGGGATAAGTCCGCCATTGTATACTAAATCATTTACTAGTATTTAATCTGACTTATGTACAATAAAGATTTTTACAATTACAATACTTAACTACCCGTGAATATTCAGTCGGCTGACGTGTTCTAGACCTCAGGAAAATAGAACTCACATCATCGCTTCCTCAGTAAAGTCGTGAAAACCTTTAGGTAAACAATATCATGTCAAGAAATATAAGACTAATACTGATTCTGCACGTTTGAAATGAAAGTCTGAATCGTGCTTATATATGTATCAGTGTTATAGCGATGCGCATATGCACTAGCTTGTCACGTAACGACCATAAAGCACCGTCTATAAGGGGGTATTCTGAATACCAAACTATTCTTGACGTTTTGAATAACGTTCCCTCAAAGGGCGAAATAGCCAAACCAAACAACAGTAATAAAAACCAACCAAGTGCATTACGGATAAACATTAATGAGGTTCCAGCATATGATTATATACTGCCGTTTTAACTTGATGCTCATATCGTTAAGGCATTTGGTAAGTTTTTTCATTATCAAATATAACAACGTAACTTGGCATCTAAACAAAAAGTACATTTAATCCTAAGTATGAGAATTCAGGAAGACCTGTCCAGCAGTAGACGGATAATGACTGAAATGATAAGGATGATGATGATGAATATTTAAGTAGTAATTCATGAATTTTAGAAAGTGCCTATCAGAATTACCTACTACGTAGTAACAAGCACCTACTGAGTGTCTTGACTTCAAATTTATAAAATCCAGCCGATGTCTCTTCCGGGTAAGTCCCGGGATAGTAAGTATCGTCAAATCGAGAATAAAAAAAATGTTTCAATGTAATTTTAACTATGACTCAATATTTCTATTCTCTCTACGACCTCAAAAAGCTAAAGATTTATATACATTTTAATAAGTAATTAAAAAAATAAACGTATTATGTATTTATTATAAATGCTGCCGTTACTTTTAGAAACTTTTTACCGTTTCACAAGCTACAACTATAAACATAAAAGTTAGAATGAGTTTTATAGTAATGTAATAAAACCTATTGAAATAATTATACTACTAATAACAATCGCCAATAATAATCGTAATTATTCAAAATAATTTCAATTATTCAAAACTTTTAACTGAAAGGCAACGGTTAAACTTAAACGTTCCGAACTTACCCACAGATAAAACTTATATATCCATGATGAGAAGTTCCATACAGGGAAATAGTTTAGGTCGTCTCACACCATTCATGTACACGCTACACTGCACAATTGCACCAATTTTGTTCGGAGCACTGCACACTTCCGCAAAGTTCGACAAAGTTTCGTCAGTGGCGAGCGCGAGCAACACACCCGTGCTACAGCGACGAGCTTCGACGCGAGAATGAAATAAACCACTGGGAGAGACTCAGTCCGACCACCTCCGTCACCGCCTACACGCACCTCCCTCCTGTTGCTACTGTTCACATCAACCCTTTCGCTTACATTTTCAATAGAACTACTTAATTAAGCATTTCTTTAATCTGAACGCAGCGGTCAGATATCATTGATGAAGTACGCATCATTTAAAAAAGCTCCAAGTCCAATAATTTTCAGATGCACTAATTTCTATACTCAGAGAAAATCTTAGTAATTGTTCCGAGGGTGTTCTGTTAAGGGTTCTTTCGATGTGTGTTATTTAGTTTGGTTTAGGGAAGTTTAGTTCTAGGGCCTTTATTTACTGAAAGGACTAGATTAGGTCTAGGACCTTTATTTATTGAAAATTAGAAACGCAATTAGACTGTTCAACGTAATAGTAATGGCATATATTATAAGTTCCAACAGTTTTTGAATACTTTTTTCAATTTTATTACCTGTGTACTCTATAAATTATCTACTAATATTTCTTTTTCATACAATCAATTACGAGTAATTTTATGTAGAAAAAAAATTAAGAACATCTTGTCAACTTTTAATAATAGAGACAACACAAAATCGCTAAATTGAGTCATAGATATTAGCTCAAAGCTTTATTTAACAAGCCACGAACTCCATTCGTAATTTCGTATTATATCTACCGGTAGGTATCTCAATAGTTCGAACAATCTATATTCACCATTATTGAATGTTTCCTAAAATAACATTCCATCCATTGACTACGCTTTTATCAGACTATCAGTAATTTAGCGGTAATTCTACTCGTATATACACAAATTATGCCATTCATTTAATGCAACCGATAAATCCTATTTAACTTGAGCAATCCGACAGCAGTGAAATGAAGCAAAATCGATTTGTGAAATAAAATGTATGAACTCATTTCCGAGTAGCGTCCCCTCTCGTCCGGCCGGGCAATTTTTATCATCACAAAAGCAATTTCCATCAAAATGCACGAGTTTGGTGCTTGGAGCGTGAAGCTTTAGCCTGCAGTACTCTATCTGGTGTATTGTAGCGACAAATATGCATGATACCCGACTAAGATATACCATGATATACACACTAGACAATCGTTAGTTTCACAAAATTAAAATCTATACATAAATATGCTTTAAATAATAATTAATATATTTTTTGCATGCTAGAAAATAAAACATGACTGTTTTCAAAAAATTTGTCACATTCTCTATTAATAAAATAATTGTATAATATATTAGGACTATTTTAACAAAAGGCATCTGTATCCACTTGTGATTGTTCTGCTGTCAAGTTGTACTTGCATGATAGCATAAGAAATAGCAATGGCATTTATTTATTTGCGGTAAGTGGTAAATTACCAGTTATGGATATATGATACCTTAATGCTCAAAAATTTCAACGCATGCGGAGAGTATGCATTACGTTTAAGCGTTATCTATACATTGTATTACGTGTTTACCATAAAAATATTTAAGTGTCTTAAAGTAAGTTTTGTTTAAAATAAATGGTAAACTTTTCTTAATTTGAGACCAGGTAACACTATATGATATATTAAAGACTATTTATTAGTAGAATATGAGCCATGTTGTTTAATAAATTATCTTTATCACTAACCCTATATAAACACAATATACGTAATATATTTTTTCAAAATCAAAATCCTTATCGTTCTCGAAAATAAAAACCGTTACAATTCGTTCTGCTAAAATCAGCAATATTATTTAATAATCAAATCTACGACTGCATTTTGCTTGTTTGAGCGTCCCATACGATAATATGTTCTATACTATATGATCGAGAATTAGCGATGTAATAATAATGCGCTAGTCGCGTGCGGGCGTGCGCGGGCGCCGTCACACTGCGCCCGCGCAGCCACGCCAGGTGAGAACCGTAACATCTGTCGGCCGAATACACAGCACGAACTCACGGACCAACATGCAATCATAAAGAAATAATATTTACTAGAAGAAACATTCTACTATTTAGAATACTATTATGCCAGAATATGACAATTGTTTTAATGGACAAAAATAGACTTGTAAACCCGCCTGTGAGGTGAGGATAAAGTCAGAAAATAGAACTGCAATAACACGTTAAAATAAACAAGGAACTGGATAAGTAAAAATATATATTGAAGGCTATAATATATTTAACACAAAAGATTAAAAAAGAAGGTTGTTAAAATTTTCTTTTCTGTTAGTCGGTCATCAGTCAAGTTAACGACACTTACGACGAGGACACGCTGAGCCATCATTCGGAGTAAGCCGCTTCAAAAGGCGGCTTAAAAGTTCAACGGCTCCATTGCTAGCAATATACCCATCAGATCGGCCTCCATCTTCTCCCAAAAAACCATCGTGCCTAATAGAGAGGAAAAAATTTGATAGATAGTCTCTCTGTTGATAATATACTTAAATAATTAAATACTCTTTATTGTTTCCTCCAAAAGATTACAATAATAAACTTATACTAGATTATTTTTGTGATTTCCAGTATTGAAAGCTTCCTTAGCCCATTCACTAGTCTCTTCTACATTTTTAACATCTCTTAAAATCGGTCGAAATGTTTATTCACTCGTAACAACGGAGGTATTGGTTCGCTTTGGTGTTATATGAGCCGACTATAAAAATCGTCTGGTGTAGTGTGTATCATCTTTCATGTACTTGATGGACATTACTACTTATGTTACTCATGCGTTACCATTATAAAATTTTATTTAAAAAGGAGGAAGTCATAAAATAATGAATTTAGTGTAAAAAGTATAAAAATTACTGTCATATTTAATTGAATACTACATTACAAATTATCGCAAAAAAGCATATGCATTTATAGTATTTTTTATAATAAAATCACATATAAATACTCATATTTTGTATTTTATATCTACATGAGAATGCAGTCAAATGATTCACTATAATATAGAAATTCACAATGATAATATTTTTTTCATAACACAGGAGCAAACAAGCATGCGGCTCACCTAATGGTAAGTAACTACCGTCGCCCATGATCACCCGCAACAACAAAGACATTGCATTGCCTTTTAAAAAAGAATATGCTTTTTTCTTAAAGATTATGATGTCATATCCATTCGGAAACACTACAGCTAGAATTTTTTTTATACAACTTAGAATGGCAAACAGGCTGATGGAAAGTGGTAACCGTCGCCCACAGACATTAGCAGTACCGTGGCCATAACAGAGTATACTGTTTCGTCCATGATACCCCCCATACGTTGCCATTCCTGAGGACTCAGGTGTTATTTCTCTGTACCCTGTAAAGTCACGCCATATCCCACTCTTCAAACCGAAACACAGCCATGTAAACACAACTGCTTCACGATTGAAAAACAAATGGGACAGAGATACTCAAGCAAACGACTTTTGTACAAAGTCTCCCTCTTCTAGAAATTCATTCCAAAAAGTGGTTGTATGTGAAATAAAGTGCCTTGCAAAACGCACGATGGAAGACCGCCAATTATCCAGATGTTTAGTAAAAATATAAAATATAAAGTTAAAGCTATTACTCATCAGTTCTCTTTACCTACCCCTTTCGAGAGCTGATACTAAGACACAAATTACATAGATGAAATGAGGACAGATTACATAGATAAAAAAATATAGAATATTTCTGTTTTACAGGACAAATGTGTCCCTACGAATGCTAGATACTAAAGTTTAAACTCGAACACTTTCCGAGTACAAAATGAGCAACAAAATGTACAGTTTTTTTAATTGATGATAATGGAATGATAACCCTTCCTTCGCTATTAGTACATGCTGGCGAAGCACCAGTGAAGGATTATAGATGAAAGTAAAAGCAGAGTGGAAAAGGCATTGTTAGTAATGAAGTCTAATAGCTCCATTGCTAGCAGTATACCCTATCAGGCCGACCTCCACGCGTTTTCCCCTAAAACCATCGTGGTTAATTCTCTTGGACTTAATCATGATGGGCCAACTAGTCTACTTCATCCTCACGTATCAATTCTTACTAATGCCGCGCCTGTGTATACCAATAGTGCAGGAGAGATTAACATTTCATATTCAACCATCAATAAAAAAGTAAAAACAAATTACACTTGATGGTTTCTAGGGGGGACCGCAAGGAGGTCGACTTGACATAGAATATTGCCAGCAATGGGGTTGCTAGTCTCCATTACTAACAGTCCCTTCCTCTCCCTGCTGTTCATATTAATGCAGGTCTTCAGTAACCACATACTATTCGTCATACCGTATAATATTTGTTTACTAAACATTCATTCATTTCATCATCTTGCCCTGTGCGGCCTAAAGTATTTAATATTCGAAAAATAGCAAATTTTCAATTTAATCAAAGAATTCGCAACGCCATAGGTTTAAATTGCAAACACCTTGAAAATATAAATTTATTGCCATTATACTGATATAAAATACAATTTTCAATAAAAATTCAAAGAAATTAAAAAGTAATGAAAATGACATACTATATACATTTTATGTTGAATCGTTTTGTTCGGCAAACTCCTTCACTTTCCCTTTGGAGCAATGACAAAAATTCAATTTACATCTCCTTGCTTCGCAGTTACTTAATTCTTTCTCTCGGTGAAAATAAATCTCCCGTAATTGATTCCGCTTTAGTTCAATTTGTCTTCGTTAAAACTCAATTTCCGTAGTCTATTTGTGAATAATAAATTGCGTACTTCAGCAATGCGCCCGCCTGCTTGTTCTGTGTATGCTACATGCCATCCCAAAAAACAATTTCACTACGCCCGAAACAAGTCAATCTAAATTAGTGGCTTACGCCGCTGACATAGTACTCTTCACTTTAGTCGTGTTCGATAAATCAAAGCTAGATTGTCTCTTAAATAATGTAGAGTACAACGAATCTAGGGCGTTGTCGGTTCTTACGTCCATTTGCTTTAATAATAACCTAACTATACTTGTAGTCGTCTTAGTAATTTAATAATATTTTAACTAGATAATGTCTGAACATGGGA